TAGAAGCGCCTAGCATGCTTTTTTGGATACTGTCGAGTAGGCTGTGGTCATCGGTGTGTTCAAACAGCAGACGAAAGTGCGTGTGGTGCACTTCAGCATCGTGGGAAAATGCCAGTATGTCAAGTTTAGGTAAGGGTAATTTGGTTTTTATGGCGCAAAAGCAGCTAAGGCTATGCTGCGCCAGACACAAGACTTTCAGGAATGGACACTGAAAAGATGAGATTTTAAAGCTTATTTAACAGATTACATTCTTTCAGAAAGTTTAGCAAGTCGGGCAGAGGTACTAGAGGGTCATCTCCTAGGAACAAAGCAGTGTGTAAAGGCACGTGTTGTTTGTATAGCTTGCTGAAATTTTTTTCTCTTTGTGTTTAAATGGTAGGACATGCGATTAGGATGTGCATAAGTGTAAACGCTTCTTGGCATTTTTCACACGTTGGTTGTTTTTCCTTTGCGAGTGAGAAGTTGTGTGTCAAGTGTGTGTGTCCAATGCGAAGTCGGCGTAATACAAGTTCAATAAACCGTTGCTGGTGACGGCAGGTCTTCCATTCCCTGAGTGTGGGTTTCACCAGGTGGAGCATATTGTTTGTGCAGGTGTCCCATTGCTTTTGCCATTTTGATAGTAGAGCCAGGGGAATTGTTCTCTAGATACCTTTAAGGAGAATTTTCACTTTTGTTACTGTTTTATGGGCTGCCTGGGAAGCATACTTATCTGCTTTTTCGTTTCCGGGTATCCCAACATGACTTGGGACCCAGCAGAAACGGATGGAGGCTGCCTGGCTGTTTAAGTATACCATGTTTAAAATGTCGCCCACTATTGGCTCACATTCAGATTTTATATGTAGTGCTTTTAGTGTACTTAGTGAGTCGGAGTATATGATTGCTTTCTTGTATTTTTCAGCGATAATTTTCCGAACTGCTTCACTCAAGGCATAAGCTTCAGCTGAAAAAATGGAAAAACTACGAGGTACTTTCACAAAAATTGCACTTTTCGTCGTCGCAATCCCAATACCCTTGTGGTTTTCCGTTTTTGAGCCATCTGTGTAAAATTCTTCATAATCCTTATATTCGTGCTGAAGTGTATAAAATTCTTGCATTGTGTGTCTTGGTGGGGTGCTTTTTTTGTTAAAACGGTTTAGTGAAAATTCGCATAGCTGCGACAAGTTGAACCATGGCGGCAGTGTTGGTGGTTTAATAGCGACATCTAGTGATCCATCAGGGATGGTATAAAAGCGGCAGTATTCCTCGAAACGTAGGACAAGTGGTTTGATTAGGTTCAGTTTGTTGAGGTAGTGTAAGCGTGAGTCACATTTCGCGGCAATTTCGTAGCAGATGTGTTCAGGTGACGACCTTATTCTTAAAACATATGACAAGGTTAGTAATGCTCTTCGATCACATAGAGGGGGCTCATTGCATTCTACGAATAGACTTTGCATAGGTGATGTTCTGTAAGCACCACTCGATAGACGGAGACTGAGGTTGTGTATAGGGTCAAGAAGGCGGATGTATGAGTATGTCAAGGTAAATCAAGCAAAAGTAGAGAGCATGGACAACTGTGTAGTTGAAACACTGAAAGGTTTGTCCAGCATTTCCCTCCCATATGGGCCCATGTGCAGTGGCATGGACCTACTGGCCATGGGGCAGCCGCATCGTGTAGAACCACGGAATACAGTCTCATGCCTGAAGCGCCATAAGGACACTCACCTTCAGAGTCCGAAGTGGCAAGTTTACGTCCTCTAAATTCAATGTCACAGGTGCACTGCTGCGAGTGGCACACAGAAGCAATATAGTGCCACCAGCACGTAGTGGGTCGACAGCAAGAGCGGCTCTCAATCTGGAGGAAAAAAGAAGATCGCGTGTCTTCTTCTCTGCTCGAGAGCCAGCCACGACTGACGCATCGTCCTAGAGCTAGCTACCCGGTCGTTCAATAAATCCCCCAGTACTTGTGACTCATCGTGACAAACTGGTGGAGGTGCTGGGTAGTCTCACGGATGCTGCAGACCCCCCCAGGAAGCCGTAATAAGAGTCCAGTGCCAGTCAACACTCCCGTGCATCGGACCAGCCGCCGAATCAGGGGATTGCCTCCGGAAGTCAACGATACTACTCCCACCACGTCAACAAACATGACCGCCCGTACCTTTATGGTCGTCCCTTCAAGATAGTGACGGACCACCACGCCCTCTGCTGGTTGGCAAGCCTGCGCGACCCTTCAGGACGGCTAGCACGGTGGAGCTTGCGGCTGCAGGAATTTGACGTCACCATCGTCCATAAGTCCGGCCGCAAGCATGAAGACGCTGACACACTGTCACGTGCACCCCTTCTTGTCGTCAGTCAGGATGCAGAGGAAGACGAAGGCTTTCTGGGCGCCATTAGCTCATCAGACTTGAGTAAACGGCAGCGGGATGACGCAGAGATTCGTCCGATCATCGATCATTTAGAGGGCCAGGGCACAATGATACCACGTTATTTATCCCGCTCGTTGCCGTCGTTCTGCCTTCGAGATGGTGTGCTGTACAAGAAGAACGCTCGTTCGAACAACCGTACCTACCTCCTGGTGGTTCCTCGAGACATGTGAGACGACGTCCTCTTCGCTTGCCATGACGAACCCACATCCGGTCATCTGGGCTACTCACGGACACTTGCCAGAGTGAGTGAGAGGTACTATTGGCCAGGACTTTCGGCAAGCGTGAAGAAGTACGTCAAGAAGTACGTCAAGAGCTGTCGGGAATGTCAGCGCCGAAAGCAACCATCTGTTAAGCCAGCTGGTTTGCTTCAGCCCATTGAAGCACCTTGCACGCCATTCGACCAAGTCGGCATGGACATTCTCGGGCCATTTCCCCTGTCTGCGGACAGCAACAAATGGGTGATCGTCGCGACCGACTATTTGACACGCTACGCTGAAACCCAAGCGATCCCACGAGCCACGGCTTCTGAGGTAGCACAATTTTTCATGCGCCACATCGTGTTACGACACGGTGCTCCTTCCAGTGTAATAACGGACAGAGGGACGGCATTCACGGCGCAGCTTACGGACGAAGTTTTCAAACTGAGCAACACCAGACACCGAAGGACAACTGCGTACCACCCGCAAACCAACGGACTTACCGAGCGACTGAATAAGACCCTCGCAGACATGATCTCAATGTACATCGACGTACAGCACAAAACATGGGACCGGATCTTACCTTACGTGACCTTCGCGTATAATACCGCCGTGCAAGAGACCACGCGATTCACGCCATTTCGGCTTCTCTACGGCCGCGAAGTACAGACCATGCTAGACTCCATGCTACCGTGTCAAGACGAAGACGAGTTGGCAACTGACGCCGAAGAATTCGCAGAGCGTGCTGAGGAAGCCCGGCAGCTCGCGCGACTGCACATCGGCCAGCAACAGCAGGCAGACGCACGACGCTATAATACCCGCCACAGAGAAGTGTTTTACAGCCCCGGAGATCAAGTTTGGGTGTGGACGCCCGTCCGCCGCCGTGGCCTTAGTGAAAAGTTGCTGAGCCGGTACTTTGGCCCATATAAAGTGTTACGCCGCGTCAGTGACGTGAACTACGAAGTGGTTCCGGACTCAACACCCCATGCACGGAGTAGGACACGGCTGAGGCCGGACGTCGTTCATGTGTTGCGCATGAAACCATTTATTGCGCGTTGCTCGTAACTTTTCCTTTACCGTACAGCATCCTTTGTGTTTTTTTGTTTATTTGTGTGAACTTGCTTTCTCGTTCATTGACGTTTCTTATTTTGGCATGCTCTTCAATCTTTACTTTCACTTTATCCGAATTTCCAATTTCTTTTTCACGTGCCTATGTTGTAGCATCGCGGTGATGCTATGTACTTTTCTTTCCTCTTTTTGGGACTTGTTTTTTTTCTTTTCGGAAGGGGGGATAATGCCACCAGCACGTAGTGGGTCGACAGCAAGAGCGGCTCTCAATCTGGAGGAAAAAAGAAGATCGCGTGTCTTCTTCTCTGCTCGAGAGCCAGCCACGACTGACGCATCGTCCTAGAGCTAGCTACCCGGTCGTTCAATAAATCCCCCAGTAATTGTGACTCATCGTGACAATAGGTTTTCTCACTAATGAGGCCAAAACTCAAACTTCTAAAACACCACAAGTTCATAAAAGCAGAAGTAAAGATCCTCACGCTCTTTCCATGTGCTTTTACATTCTTTGTTAGGTGGTTTAGCCATCTGAAATTTTCCCTCACTACGGTGTACCAAGTATCACAGCAAAAAGTTATTCTAAGGTATTCTCACTGCACGGGGAACCACGCGTGCCCATGCTTCCTTTGCCTTTGCAGCATGGCGGGCAGTGTAGCTGAGAGGACACGTCGGTTCTTCAAAATAGAGAAATGAAGCCTCTATCGAAGGGCCGTTCACCCTGCAGCAAGAGCGTGCTATAGCTCCCTTGCGGAATGGGTTACTCTCTCGGAGGGGGAAGCAACCCTTACAGGAGAGAGGGTTGGAGAAAACAAGCGTGCCGCCAGCAAGAGGCTCTCTTACACCAGCAACCGGACAGGGACAACTGACGTATAGAATCTCTACAAGCCAAGGCGATCGATGAAAGGTTTAAGCCTACCCTCTGTTATCTTCACAGAGTGGACAGTCCCTTTAAGCGAGATTTACGAGTTAGTGCTAACACAGTAATGAAGGGTTGTGTTAACCTAGCTAATTACCTTATTATCTCAAACCCGTCGTAGCTTCGTTGACTCGAGCTACAGGAAGGGGACATTAAGTGTGCACGGTACAACCATGGCTCTGCTAGGTAGTCTCGTCCTTGTGACAGCGGCTCCAAAGCGGCTGGCTCTTCCAGCTGGGTTGGCGGTTGGCCTGTGAGCCTCTCATCGCGGCAACGCCAATGCTACTTCATTGAGGCAACAGCATGCACAATTACAACTTCGCTAGAGTGTATTACGACCGAACGAATACAGAGATAAAATGTAACGAAATGATGTGCGTTTCGTCAAATTGCATCTTGTGTAAGGCGCTTCCCACTCACCTCTGGGTCTGTCCGCACCACCTCGACTGTCCGTTCATCGGGCAGCAACAGAAACGGCCTCTGTGGAGCTGTTTCCGATGGCAGCAATGGTCGCAGGCGGCAGAACACTCGAATGTTGCCCTAGCACAGACCATTTCTTTCAATCAGTAACCCCCTCCAACTGCACATGCCAGAACTGTGGTACCATTATGAGAAATTGCAAGTGGACACGCCAAGTGCAGAGAAACAAAGTACTTTGACACTTCAAGGAGTACAGACATGGTTTAAAGACATCGCAAAAGGCGGATTCCTAATTTCCTTGGTTTCATTTCCAAACTCAACAGTGTTGTGTCCTGTAGCACCCTAAACCACAGAAATCACTGTCAGGGTCACTGAACGAAACTTCACTCGTTTGATTTTATATGTAAGGTTTAACGTCTCAAAACCACCATATTACGAGACTCTACAGTAGAGGGCTCTGGAAAATTTGACCACCTGGGGTTCTACAATGTGAAACCAAATCTGAGCCCAAGGGCTTACAGCATTTTTGCCTCCATCAAAAATGCAGCCGGGAATCGATCCCGGGACCTGTGGATCAGCAGCAGAGTACCTTAGCCAAAAGAACATAGAGGCAGAGCGATTCACTGATTGTTTACATAGGCCACGAGCAGATGACACATTTCGGTCACTGATGAGCCATCTCCTCAATATTGAAACCAAGAATGTTTTTTCTGGCAGTTGTAATACAGATATGCATCCCCAGGCACCACAATCCTCCTTTTAAGTTTCTCGACACCAGTACTTCTAGTAAGAGCAACAACTGGAACATATTTAAAACTTGTGCCAGTACTCTTAACAGTCATCAGCTCTAATGGCCCAGGCCGCAGCTACAACCTTTCCGATAGGCTTTAAAGTGCAGTCGTTAAACATAACCTTATTGATGCAGTTTCAAGTAAAGAGCACTTTTCAAGGTATTTGTGGGCCCTGGAAATGGTTTTTCATATTTCGAGGTTTCAAGGAATTGAATACTGTATTTACTCGTACTATAATGAACCTTACATAAATGAACTGTACATATCATGATCCGTACATAAAATGACAAAAAAAAATGTTTTATATTGAATCTGTTCATTTTAATTCAGCAAGATAGCCAGTGCCATTGACGATCGAAACGTTAAATCAAGCCATTATATTACAAAATAACAGTGCAACAAAAGTCAGAACATAGTTTCGCAGCCATGCTAAACAGTTGCGAGCAGGTCAAGTATCGAACCCGCAACCTTCGGGTCAGCACCTGAGACACTTGCACCGAGGCAGACACAGCATAGTTTGCACATGCTTCTACATTTAGGCAACCGATACAAGTTAAAATTTGTTCTGGTAGCATCTCCATGCTATCTGGTAGCATTCTCCATGGCAGACACACCTTGAGCTCCTGCAGGGCATTGTGCAGCTGGCGCCGGTCTTGCTCGGAAGCGTTGAGCTGGTCCTCCTGTGCTGCCACTCGTGCATGAAGCTCGGAAACTAGGGACTCCAACCGGCCCTTCTCCAATGCCAGGGTGGACCGCTGGGACTCCAGCGACTCTTGCTGGGCCTGCAAAGCACGCATCCACACCTCCCAATGAGGACAGCAGTGCTTGTTTTTCAACCTTGAGCCTCACTCGTAGTTATAAAAGTTCTTATTGACCCCAAAGACCCTGAGAATTGCATGAAAAAAAGAGAGCAGCATTCAATTTCGCACACTTTTGCATAGAAAACAAAACAAAGAAAGTGAATTTTTGTGATCCTTGTAAAAGTGGTGGCACTGTCACATGTCAAAAAGACCTGCCAGCATGCTAATCTGGGATCGCCGTGCTTGTACAGTAAACACTCATGCATTTAGAAAGTACCAGCTGCGCGAGAAAGCTGCAGGAAGTAGAGCTGTGCAAGTACCAAAATTTAGGGGGTGAAGGGAATTCGAGCAGCGAAGTGCAAACCGAATCGCATATTTTTACAATATTTCTGAAACATGTTTCAAATGGTCAAGTGTGAAATTGCATTAAAAAAAAATTGGCCCTGTATCTGCATGTAATCTGCAAATGTCGTCGAAATACGATAGTATTGAGCGTGGAGAAAGTGAACAAAACATTTATTTGATGTTCTGCGCAAGAAAATCGGTGAATGGTACTCCGGAGGCGCTGCGTTAGAGTGCCTCGAGCGTGCAGCAGAGGCGAATGAGCGCATCGAGGCATGTTAGCCATGAGCGCCACCTGGCAGTTATCTCCGAAAATGAAGGAAGGCCTGCGTGCCTGCGGAGAAAGATGCGTGCATTCTCGGAGGCGATAAGGTGTAGAACGCAAAGCGACAGGCAAGTGCCACCACCGTGTCGTTTTAGCAAAGCGCTGGTAAAACTTGCCTTTTTGAGCCCCGCCTCGCACTGTCAGCGTAGCGTGTTTAACGCTACGGTCCTTAGATTTACTTGTGGGTGCATTCTCTTGTATAAAGGCACACATACAAAACATCGACGTGTTGTTGTGGTACCTCAGATATGCGCAATTATTTCTTTTAATTGACAATCGCACGCGTAAGAATGCCGATTCTTGAGCAACATTGTTGGGCGCTGCGGATGGGGTCGACCATTCGGGGTATTGGTTGGTGCTGTTTAGAATAACCGATTCGTGGTAACGGTGGACAAACAGACAAATGTACAGACAGACGACCAAAGTTTTTGCGTCAAACGTCCCCAAGAAAGACTATCGTCTTAAAGAAGTTGAGAGGACTCCTAAGCATATTCCTACGAGATATACCGTGTTCACTAGCGTAATGAACTTACTTTTTTTCTTGAAAAATCGGAGTGAAGTTAGGGATGTGTTTATTATGTGGGGCAAATTCTATGACAAATTTTTTAGGACGAGGAAAAAATGTGGTAATGCAAAAAAATAAGAAAATGTTAAATCACTTAGCCTTTTATAATTGAATATGTATACACTGTTTGGAAACATAAGCTCCTTTGTTGCACTTCACTCATCTTTGGTAGTTGACAACGCTATCTTCTGTAAGCTGTCCCTGCGTCGCCCTCGCACTCTATAAAAATGTTTCGCAGCTTTCTTTTCTTGCAATCGTACAACTGCAACATTGAAACCTGCAATGATCTTGAGGGGCACCCATAGGCGTGTACTATGACACACTTTGCCAACTTCATGGCAACTTCTCACAATGACTGCAACAACTATGTTAACATTGCAACAAGCACCAAAGCATCCAAAACAAACTGTTCATAACTAGATTAACGACAATACGGCTGCTGTCTTACTGTTCACATGAGAAGTTACTGTCGAAAAGGCAGCCTATGTCTTGCATTCCTTGAAGTATGCGCAGATAAACATGAAAAGCAAATTGCAACCGAAGCGAGAATCGGGGTGCTACTGTGCCATGTTGCGAAAATTGTCAGAAACTTTTCTGGGCGACAAGATATTTTCTGGTTTTCCAGAAACCTGCGACGTGTTTGCGACAAATCGCCCTTCGCAACAGCCATATCAACATCAAGTCCTGTCGTTAGTCGAAAGACACAGCGATGTGGGTGGGCCTTAATGCTTCGCATTTGCAGGAAGCGACCAACGGTTGGAGTGGGCAGTTTCGTTACCTTTGCTCGCTGTGTGCTTAACTGCGATGTCTGCACTCGCACCGTTCGTGAATCCCACTGTGGTGCAAGGATGACGGGGTATTTGCCAAGCTGTGCCACGAGCAGATATAAAGAACAACAATACAGCGTGCAAAAGAGGGCTAAGGTGGGGAGAGAGCGAGGGTGAGGTGGCCTTAGGGGGTCGGCATATAAATAAACGAAAGATATCGAACGGGCAAGGAGGCGCCAGGTGTCGGTTAGACTGCAGCAGGTTAATGTAGGGGGTGCGTTTATTAAGCAAAGAAAAAAAATCCAGATTTTGATGACTGAAGTTGGGGGTGCATTTATTATGCCTGTGCCTTCATAACACGAGTAAATACGGTAGTAGCAAGAAAGTTTCCTTTTGCTAGGTTGATGAAGACCTGGCACAGTGATATTTCATAGTTGACGATGCATGCTACAGCGTGAAGGAATGCATAGTCAGGTGGGGTATGCATTACCTCATTCTTGATAAGACAAATTGTATTAGCACATGGTTTGGTGCAACCAAACAGTTGACAACACCTCACACGGAAAGTGCAAAGATGCTATTTCCTCAGCCTCTCCTCCTCTTTTAACTTCTATGGAAGCCCAACTGATGTGGCAGATAAGGGTGAGCTCCCTTCGTGTCAGGAGTTCCAAATTTGCCTTAAACGTCAATACATAACCTCCAGCTTACAAATTTTTGAACCTCCTGGCCACATTTAAGGTGCAAAACAGCATTAATTGTACCTCCCCCTCTGCCACATTTACAGTAATATCTCTATAGAACAAAACTCCCATTAACGAACTTTTCAGATTAACAACTTTTGAAAATCCCATGCAGACTGCTAATAGTTTCAATGTAAAATTATTTCACTACTACGTACTTCAGAATACCCAACGTTTCCGAATAACAAGCGTTAATATAGTTCCGCGTTATACTAACAATGCCTCAGTACTACGAACTCGGTTCTGAAATCCGTCGTGACCACCGGAGCGGTATGCAAACAGACAACGTGAACGGACACCTTGCTTCTCAGAAGACTCGCGACTGTGCGGAGGGAAAAAAAAAAACGAAAGGGTGACTTTCTTTTCTTTCTTTTTGTTGAAGCGCTAACGCATCCTATTGGATCTCAAAGCATCCTATTGGATCTCATGTTTGACTTCAATCTCGAGCAGATTGTTTCAGTCCCAACTCGAGTACAGGGGGCGTCATCCTCAATCTTGGACCTTGTTTTATAAGTAACAGCCTTCCTACAAATGAATCTCGAGTAGACGTACTTGATGGGTTATCCGATCACAAAATGGCATTATGCACATTGCCCTTTATTAGCCCACTGAAATTATGTGGCCAATTAAAAGAAATACCCGCATTTAAGGCCAATGATGCAGCAATAATGACGTACCTTGTATACGAGTACACTGAATTTTTTTAACCGTTGTTCTGATGCTTGCTCTAGCATTGATGCGGTCTGGCTGAAATTCAAATTCCATGTCATGCATTGTATGCGGAACTTTGTCCCAATGGTTTTTATATCAACTCAAAAACACAATCCGTGGATCACACGTGAAATAATCCATACTAAACGCAAAATCAAGAGGTTGCGTAAAACTAACAAAAACCAGAATGTTCCAGGCTACCGTTCTAACTAAAGTCACTAGATCACTTAAGGACTAGGTGCGTAATGCTAAACTGAAGTTCTGCGGGTCCACATTAAATGAGTCTATTAAAAACTCTCCCCACAAATTCTGGAAATATATGAACACAAAAATGACTAATCGACCTTTACCAGACGGTCAAGACCAAGCAAGAGCTGACGATTTCAACTGTTATTTTTGTTCGGTTTTTACAGTCGATAATGGCACTGTGAACATGAATGCTTCTTTTAAAATCGGGATATCCAATTATTATGCACGCCTTCTTTATCAGAGGCTGGCATTATGTCACAGCTTCTAGGCATCAATGAAAAAAAAAGTAGCGGTCCAGACTGAATCCCAAATGGCTTCCTTAAACGATATGCAGAACCAGTCTGTAAATACCTTTATTTAATATACTCCAAATCACTGGCAGATGGCTGCATTCCAGCTGAATCGAAAATTGCCAAAATTACTACAATATCTAAATCAGGTAATGCCGCTAGTCCTAATTATAGGCATATTTCGATCACCTGCACTAGTAGCAAAATACTTGAACATATTGTTTTAAAAGTTGTAATAAGCTTTATTGAATCAAACAACATTCTGCATTCCAACCAGCATGGCTTTAGATCAGGACTATCTACAGTTACACAGCTCGTCGAAACACTTCATGACCTGTCTCTCGGCATAAATGAACGTATTCAAACTGATGTAATTTTTCCTCGACTTCTCAAAGGCATTCGACCACGTCTCGCACCCTAAACTACAGCTTAAGCTTAATCACTGTTAGGCGATGGCCCCATCTTCCAATAGATAACTAATTACTTAACAGACCGTCACCAATACGTACAGCATGGCATCCACACTTCTGACCTAGCTCCGGGTTGTCAGGCGTCCTGCAGGGGTCTGTACTAGCTCCAGTTTGTTCCATATATATATAGATGACATAACTAACTACGCTGACGTTAAACTCAGACTCTTTGCAGACGACTGTATGCTCTACAGTGAAATACATCATCAGGATAATCAGGTGAAGTTGAGTAATTTAATAAACAAAATATCTCAGTGGTGTGCTGATTGGCAAATGACTATAAACACTGACAAAACTGTATTTATGTCCATTACCAACAAGGGTGTCTAAGTTTGATTTTCAATACCATGTTAACAATGTGCCACTACGAAGGGTTAACCAGTACAAATACCTTGGTATCACGATTTCATCTGATCTTAGTTGGACAGAGCACGTGCGTCAAGTGTCGAAAAAAGCGATGAGCAAATTATTTTTTATTAAACGGGCCCTGTCATTCGCCACACATGAAACAAAGCTTCTTGCTTATGTCACATTGTCCGCTGGTCTTAGAATATGCTAATATTGCGTGGTTCCCTCACGCTGTGAATAGTATCGCTATACTGGAAAGGGTTCAGCGGAGAGCAGTGTGCTTTATCTTTAACAGATACAGGCGCACCGACTCACCTACTGCTCTACTACATCGTGCTGGTCTAGCCACCCTTGACAGTCGTGCAAAGGTTTTCCCGGCTCAAATTTCTTTATCTACTTTACACAGCTCATTCCGCATAAACCCAGATCTTTACTTGAGCTTTCGAGATACCAGACCGACGAGGCGTAGCCATGCATGGGAACTCGAAGAATACTCATTTAGTAATAATACCTTTTCCTATTCGTTCTTCCACGCGTAATTCGAGAATGGAACACACTGAATCCAGTCATTACACAGCAGCCAACATTAGAGAACTTTATGAAACTAATTGAAGGCACTGATCTATTCTAACGTAGTTAGCATGTACAGTGATAACCTGTTTTTCTTCACGCAGTCCTTCCCGTTTCCAATTGTCATACTAAAACCCTTGTGTGCATATATTTATTGTTTATTACGGTTCCTTGATAACAATACTCGATCTGTGTTTTCTTTCTGTACTTCGCTTCTCGGCTCCTGTCTTTTGTTGGTGTACCGTTGGTGTACTTCATACTGGTTATGGTTCAAATAACGAAGATTGTTCTATGCCGAACTGCTGTGTTTCAGTGATTATGTGTTCTTTATTATTCTGCTTTTTCTTGTTCACACGTCGAAAGTTGTGACAGTGATGCTCACCCTGTAAAAATCCCCATGGGGGATTGACCGGATTCTGTAAATAATTAATAAAATAAAATAAACGGAGCCTAAAAGGTAGCTTTGCCACAAGAAGAGGAATGCAATGAGGTGAAGCATATTATTCCTTCTATGCTCGCTGTTGCTTGGAAGTATTTTTTTTTTTCTACGAACACTCCACTGCGCATTACTTCTACCACAATGTGCAGTAAGGTACTGTAACTACTGAGAGCCCAGAGCTTCAAACCAATGCATAGAGATTAATGCATTGCATTTCTTGCACTTTTATTCCAGAATCCAATAGGCGGGCACGCAGGCTCCACACACGAAGTCAATTTATTAGACTAGCGAGGAATGGGAAGCTACTTGACATCCATTAAATTCGAAACAGCTTAGAGGACATTGTAAAGCACTTATGAGCATAGTGAATGGTGTGGCCACAAGTTATATCGCATAAATCTGCTTACAAAAGTGCTGTTACTCAAAAGCAACACCGGGCACATGTAAAGGAGCAAGCAGATATGGGAAGATACACTTGTAAATTTTTACAGCATGCAAAGCTACGATGCTGAGGTTTCTGTAGAGCATTAAACATAACTCTCACTATAATTATTGTGCTCTATTCGTGCTCCCCTTCCCACTCCTCTCCGAGCACACAGAGGGAAAAGGAATTTTAAAAAATTGCCCGCAGCTTCCCTCGGGGAACACTGAGGAGGATGCGGACCATATAATTGGTTAACGGGGTGTTAAAGTGCGCTTACTTGGGTCGATGGCTAAATTGGTTAACGGGGTTGTGAAATGGGGTGTTAATTGCGACTTACTTGGGTCGATGGCTAAATTGGTTAACGTGGTTGTAGGAGGGGGTGTTAAATGAGTGAACACGTACACACGTATGCGAAAGGGCGGCGCTGGGCGAAGGGACGTCGATCAGTTGTGTTTGTGGATTCGTTGGAATTCATTTCACACCGCGACCTTGGACGTCGACGCGCCGTACAAACCAACCGACGAGCGGCAACTGAGCAAGCGAGCGCCGACCTTGAGTATATATACAGCACGACGGCGCATGCACTGTCAGCTGTTGAATGTTCTCGAAGCGCGACGCCACATGCGCGTCCACTGGAGATCAGGAGAATGTAGATGTCGAACGCGGTGTGTAGAGGAGGAAGGGTGCACAGATGGTGGAGGAGTGAAGCGCGCGCGGTGTGTAGAGGAGGAAGGGATGCACAGATGGTGGAAGAGTGGGCGACGGCGCGACGGCGCATGCGCGCGCGTCAGCTGTCGAATGTTTGAGAAGCGGTGCGGACGGCGCCGGACGGCGCACTACAAGGCGCGAGTATAAAGATGCTCCGCATCTAAAACTTTCTACTAACATGGCTCTACCTGCAATGGAGCTCCCTGTGGTAACCCACTGCCTGCCTTGGTTCACCAGGATTACAAATTTAAGAGGCGTGACTGGGACATTGGCCTAGGGTTGCCAGTGAACTGCCTCGCAGTCCGGTTCAGAGAGACTTCCCCAAAACCACGCTGGCGAGATTTTTTTATCAATCTTCACATTGTTGCAAATTTTAGAGACCACTTACATACTGGCAAGTTCATTCAGCGTGTGAATATAGGAAAAAAGGTCACAGTAGAGTCCCTCTTTCTGGCTACTCCTACTCTGGCCTTTTTTTCCCAAGTTTGTGTGCTGAACAAACTTGCCCTTATGACTACGCACCACATAGCTCATGCTTCCACTCTTGTGAGACCAGTTTGAGGGCTTTGGTGTCTTATGTGTGAAGTGTTGCTGTGTACTCACTACTCTACAGAGCAGTCACACATGTGTAGATGGGGTGTAAGCATCGATGACGAGATGTGTTGTTGCACAGCGACTGGCACAGTCTACGAACCATTCTCATGGCAAGAGAAGAGATACACTTGAACCTCATTATAACAAACTTCCATCTTACATGAAAATAAGTTCATTTTACACTAAGAATCGTTATACAGGTTGTTCTAATGCAAGGGGGTTTAATAGCGATGCCAGGTAATATGCAGACAGCCGGTACGGAAACAAATGCTCGGGCAGTCCAGCGTCTACACCTCGTGCACCCGCTCGCGCTTTCGCACTCAGCCATGGTCCCACTAGTCATTGCCTTGCGAACTCCCCACTACACTAACACTAAATCTATTGCTAGGCTATTTTTCATTTACTTCGTTAAAACCAATATTTGTTATATCTGGATTCGTTATATTGAGGTTTGAGTGTTCAGCGAGAGGCAAAAAGAGAAAAGTAAAAAAAACAAACACCAGGCCTGCGCTGAAGGCCAGCACAGTCACAGCGAAAGCTAGAAGAGCAGCCTTTCAGAGCCTTTTCTAAACACTCATTGAGTAACTGCTGCAAGCACACTTGCTTGATACCCACTACGGAATTAATAATAAATATTTTGGGTAGTAGGCCTGCATTCACTAAGCTATTTTTCCTCATTCTTCTGAGAAGTTGGGTATGTGCTGAGCACTTGCAAGGCGTTTTGTGCCGTTGTTCATGCAGTGGCTGATGACGATGAGGAATTATGCCCGAAGTGGGTGTGAGAAATGAAGAAAGCAGAACCCAACACCCGATCGTCTGGCTACAGCGAAGGTCAAGAAAACAACTGAGCGAGCCAGCGCCCCACGGCTCATGCTCGTGCCCCCCCTCATTCTTTTTTATTTGCAACACACAACCGCAGCCACAGAAATTCGCGGCAATGTTCGGATGCACAGCAGCGGAAATTGAGGCCGGCATTGGCGAGCAGGATGCGGAGGATAAAAAACGGGAGGAGGGGGGGGGGTCGTTACACAGCGACAATGGAGGACTTCTGGGAGGTGTTGACGCTTGGGGAGGCGGTGGCTTGTCTTGCGATGGAAGCCGTCCAATCTCGCTATGATGTCCAGAATACTTGGTCACTTTGTTGGCTATTTTCAGGTCATAGTGGAGACTTTGGCACTTCTTGCATCGCTTGTAGTATGAGGAGCCCAATATTGGCCTCCTTTCATGGACTCTCTCGAGATTTTCTTGAAAATTTGCGCGCTTCTTGGGAGTGATGTTTGTCCTCTGCTCCTTGATGTTGCATCTGAAGGTTCTGTAGGAGCTTCGCGGTCATTTACTGCTCGTGCACTTGAGTGTCACGTAGTCCTTTATGTTGGCCTGGCTCGGAGGTCCATCCGATCTGCTTGAAGGCTCCGAGCTTGATGGCAATTTTTCTTCCTCACTCGTCGAGAACAACAATGATGCTCAAGCATCCTGGCTCTTTTGTGCAGCGACTGCATCACGCAGGGGCATCTCGGCTGCTTTCGATGGCATCGGAGACTCGTTCACGTGCACTGTTGTCAGTAGTGCAGTGTTAGAGCACGTCTAGGCATCACGAATGATTACGTCTGCCGAGCTGATGCCTTTATTGGCAAGATTCTGAGCAATGGTAGTGTAGTGTACAGAGATATCGCTGCCCAGGTGCATCCGATTAGAGCTTGTAGGAACCTCCAATCTACATGAAGACTCCAAAGTCGATAACGATTCTTCTTCCTCACTCGACGTGGATGACGACGATGCCCAAGCATCCTGGTTCTGTTGGGCAATGACCTCACCAATGACAGGAATCTCAGCCGTGTTCGAAGGCAGCGGAGGTTCGTTCACTGGCTGTGCGGCCGGTAGCGGATTGTCAGTGCCCGTCCCGGCATCAGGAACGATGACGTGCATCGAGCTGAGGTTTTCTGGCACATGATTCAGAGCCATGTGAAAGATTGTGGAGACATCACAGGAGGAGCCTCCCAACGACCTGTCAATCACGGTGTCTCCCACTTCGCGCGACTCTTCGTTTGTGCCAGATCCCTGCATGATGTGCATGGCGTATTGCTGGAGCTGTGTGACATGGCCCTTGTACATCCAGCGCAGGTCTGGCATCAGGCGACAACTCATGATGTGCGGTGGCATCGTAGACGGCCATGAAGTGCACGTACTTGGTTGAGCATGGCTCGTAGCAGCACTGCTGCTCGCACTCCCGGTCGTTGACTTGCTTGGACTTGAGAGGAGACGAACTAGAGACCCTACCGCCAGAATCGGGCTTGAGGAACGTGTAGAGAGAGTAGAAGGACTCCACGTGCTGTTGCTTCTGGGGCACGTCCTGAAGGCATACGGTGCTGCGTGACGGGTAGTACAAGAGTTCGTGATGTGGGTCATGAAAGTAAGACGAACTTGCCAAGCAGCGGCACAGGTATTGGGAAATCGTATCTTTGGAGCTAATGCACATGGTGCACCTGGGGTTTTCCTTAGCCATCGAACTCTCCATGGTGCACCTTCCGAACAAGTCCTTGCACCCGAGCACTGTAGATTGCGTAGACAGTGACAGTTTTTCCAGTGTGTATCCAAAACTCTTCAACTGGTGGGGATGGGTTCGAGGTAAGTTGTCCGTAGGCTTGTGCGCGATGAACTGCGTAGCCTGGGTTAGCCTAATTCGATATACTGGCGTTGCAGTCAGGAAGCCTTGAGAAGAAAATGTCGCAGCCCGCTGGTATGGTGGCTAGATAGAGAGGTGTCAGCATCGTCTCAGCCGTGCCATTAAAGGAGGCGTGCTGGTATTTCATTTCGCCGCGGAGTGGCACGCAAGTCGCCTCCGTGATCGGTCACGAGCGCTTGCCAGCCGCTAGCGCGGCACCTTTAGTCACTTGCTCATGTGCTTGCAAGTCGCCACGTCTGCAATTTGCTTATTTGGACTTGTTTGGTATCAATAAGTGCCAATGTGACCATGCAACAGTGATGAGTAAACAGCAAAGACACTGCTTTGCACCTGAATGCAATGTGGGATATGCTTCGGCCGGCCCGCAAACAAGGGAAGAAAGAATGTCTCTTCTCTGCTCCCGCCGGAGATGAACAGCGCAAGGCCTGGGAGTGTACAATCCCTCGCTCTGACAAACCACCAAAAAAGAACTGCATTGTGTGCGAAGCTCATTTCGACGAAAGATTCATCGTCGAAAGCTACAAGCATTTTATCAACGGGTTCTCAGCAACTTTGGAAAAAGCTGTACCTAAGGAGGAAGAATTCCTGAGGGAATCAACTGCCGAAAAACTTCGCGTCACTCTAACACCATTTCCATCCGGTACTATGTCACAAAAACCTTGGGCTATAAATACTTGATGACGTCTCGCCTCTGCCAAGACGCGCTTAACATCTTTTTTAGAATTCTGAAGCAAATGTCTGACTTGAATAATCACTCTACGCTGACACAATTTTTTATCTCTGTGAATTGCCTCAGTTTTTACACTTTGATGCAGTCACCCTCCAGTGGAAACATACCTTCTGGAGTTCTGAGCAGCCTTCTATGTCCGGGCATCCACAATAATTCAATAAAATTGCAGAATAAGCTGGATGAGCTGCTAGATGTGGGGCGCCTCAATGATGTTCATGAAATTATTGTTGCTCGTGAAGCCCTCGCTGACCACGTTGATCTCATTGGACGCAAAAGTTACTCCCGGATCACTTATTACGTCAGGGGCTATGTGGCATGGAAGATGGTAAAAAAGAATAAGTGGAACAAATGTATCAGGTTGTTGCTTCACTCAGAATTCCAGCTTGCTTCCAGCAGAGTCATGCTTGCTGTACCCGTCCGAGTCCTTAACAGACCTGGTCAAAGCTATGGAAGATGCATTCACCTATTGCAGTTTCAACAAGTTGAAAAGTGACAGCATAACAGACCTTATCTCTTGCCTGTCTGTGAAGAGGTGAAATATGGTCCACTGAACACCACAACTTGGAAGTGACAAATCAGATAATTAGATTCTTTACACTGAGCAGAATGCGTTTTTTTTTGTTGCTGGAGAAAATGCGTTCAATAAAAAAAAGGAGAGGGAAAAATGAAGTTCTTGAAGTTGGGACGTATTACTTGACTGTCATAGTGTTAACTCAGCGAACAAGGTTATTTTATGTTATTGTGCATTACTCACGCTGTTTCTTGTGATTTTACTACTGTCTTGTTCACATTGTTATAAATATCCCATTAACAACTGTGACGTCACTGTATGGCTGTAATTCACATATGCAGAAATTGATTTTTTCTTGAACTGGTTTGTGATTATCTATGCTTGCCAACCAAATCTCAATGTCATGTGAGTATGTATGCCCATCGTATCATCATATATTTACTGTTCTCTTTAGTTGCCTTATTCACTTCCTTTAGCTGAGTTTCATGTAACTTGCAGTTTTCCTCACCCTAATGCATATAAGTTGTGTTTATCTTCATGTTGTTTTTCGCTTTCAGGAAAATAAATGTCTTGCTTGTAAAATTAGACCTTGATTGCGCAAGTCATAAAAATAATGGTTGCCAATACCTTTACGTGCATTGAGACTTCACAGAGAACACTGCGGCATCAAATTCGAAAACTTCATGGACTTAGTTTTGGTGTCAAGCTCACAGCAAGTCACTTGATTCTCTATCTTCTAAGCTTCGTAGCTGATATACTAAGAAGTGAATTGAAAACATTAGTTTTCAGAGCCAATACACGCATTGCAGTGCACCGCCACTGCAAGCTGCAGTGCGCCGCCAGAATCGTGTCAGGTAGACTTTGTAATATTTCGCAGGGCAGCGTGAAATACTAGCAACGAAAAAAATGACTGATGCACGGGCGCGAAGAGGGGCATCACGAAAGCGACCGCAGCGCCGCCGCATCCGGATGAATTCTCGCTCGCTCTCCGGCGCGCCGATGCTGACACCTCTCCTTCTAGCCACCATACCACTGGGACGAGAGACGAGAGGAGTCGTGATGCCAGTTGACGGTGAAGTCATGGCCTGCTTCGACGTCGAAGCGAGAGGAGTCAACAGACTGGACAGAGATGAAGTCGCAGTCTGCTACGACGTCGAGACGAAAGGGGTCGAGAGGGTGGTTGACTGTGGAGTCACCTTGCTGCGACGTCGAAGCAAGAGGAGTCGAGAGGGCGGTCGAAGGCGAAATTGCGGCATGCTCCGTCGTCGAGGCGAAAGGAGTCGGAAGACCAATCGAAGATGCCGCCACGGCGGGCTGCGATGTGTATGCGAGAAGCTTACTGAGTGGGGTGGATGTGACTGCGACGGATACGGGTTGGGTTGGTGGCCCCGGCTTGGTTGCGCGGCGAAGTCTCCCTTGAGCGCAGACGACTTTGTCCTCGAACTCGCTAGTGGTAGTCAGGTCTGCTAACAACTCTTCACACTGAACAGCAGCTTGGATATTCTTGTTCAAATTCACAAATTTGGCGTTCTTTGCGACGGTAAGGTCGAGTACATCTTCAAGCTTCTCAAAAGGGGTTGATGATTGGTGGTGTTTATTGGCGCAAGGGCCAGATGTAGCCAAATAGCGCCAGAGTGATGATAATGAACTGTGCGTTATGCAGTGTGGATAAAACAGATGTGACGTGGCTGTAAATGGGCCTGAAAGCAGTCGCTGTAGGTGCGTAAAATATACATAGAGTAAAATTATGGCAATGACAGATGATGTGTGCTATGGAGACATAAAAGTAATTAAAAATGATACATATATGAAATAAAAACTTGGCGTGGAGCACTAGTGCCTCTGCAGAGCCCTTAAAACAAGGGCATGGAGGCCTGGGCTCATTGAAAGCTGCTATCACAGCGGCATCTTCTAGAAAGAGGATGCTCTATGAACTTGGGCTAAAAACATTCAACATTACATCTTTTAGAAAGCCAAGGATTGATTTTGCATCAAAAAGTGGCTCTTTGCAGAGAAACATAACAGGATGTGGAGGAAGATGATAGCGGTATGCTAAAGGAAAATATTTCTTTCTCTTTCAGCTTCCGGACACTCCAGGAGGACGTGGAGGACGATTAGCCTCTCGCCACATCTACCACAAGTACGAGGTTCATCGCCAGTCAGCAGAAAGCTATGCGTACCATATGTGTGTCCTATTCTTTCCGAGGTGACAGAATAGGACAACAGTTCACCGTGTTCTCGTAGCGGAGGGCCAGTAACCTAACTGCGGCTTAATCAAGTGAAGCTTATTTATTTCAGTGTCCCAGAAGCGATGCCAGTGGCTTCACAGTTTCTTACGTAGGAAGCATTTTAGATCTGTTGCAAAGACAGTAGTGGTAGGGTTAATAGCGCGCAATATAATTGACGTGGCCATTTGGTCAGCTAACACATTGCCCTCGATGCTTCTATGGCCAGGCACCCAGCAAATAGTAACATGCTGGTTGGACATATACATTGTACACAGAATAGAATACAGCTCAATTATTACCAGATTTCTGAATCTCAAAAGTGATCTTAATGCATTTACGATGTTTAACGAGTGTCTAAATATAATTGATTTTCGTATGTTTGATTTCCGTATATGCTTCACAGCCGACAATAGTGCATAACCCTCAGCCGTAAAGATACTTGTTTCCGGGTGCAGTACACCGGATCCTGAGAAGGATGGTTCGACAGCTGCATAAGCCACCCCTGCATGCGACTTAGAAGCGTCGGGAAAAAACTCTTCG